TACCCGTGAATAGATTTTTTGTTACTGTTACGTATGTTACACTTTTCAGACAAAACAAGGACTGCAGAAGCAACAGGTTATATAAGATTTAGACGTGTGTTTATGTACCTGAAACAAAAGTGCTTTTATGTATTTTTATCCCTTCAGGAAGCTTGTTATTGATGAGTCTTTGATTTTGTTCAAAGGAAGACTCTCATTCAAACAGTATATACCAAGCAAGAGGGAAACGCTTTGGAATAAAGTTATTTGTTCTGTGTGATTGCAAAACTGGTCTGGTTTTGGATATAATTGTGTACACTGGTGGGTAAAACATTGGAAGATACCAGAAGGTTACTGGGTATCTCTGGTGATGTGGTTTAGAACAATGATGGAGCCATATCTTGGTAAGGGGCATATTTTATATACTGACAACTGGTACACATGCCCTATACTCGGTGATTTCTTGCGAGTGAACATGACAGATGTGTGTGGCACAGAGCGTGGAAATCGTAAATACATATGCCTAGGTTCGATGCTGGCAGTCATAGAGGTGAAGTGCAGGTGTTTGCTGCCAATGACATCATGGCATTTCGGTGGCATGACAAACGTGATGTCACACTGCTGACATTAGTGGATAAATGTGACATGCAGATTGGGTTTGCTGTGTTCGGAAGAGTTATAAGTGGTACGTAAAACTGTTTTCCATCTTCTTGACATTTCCATGCTGAATACTTATAATATGTATAAGTTGAAGACCAAGAAACAAACCCAAATATGGTGAATTTTGTTTGTCAGTCATCAGACAAATTATTTTAAGTACCAAGGAACAACACCTGCAATAGACCAGCGCCACGAAATTATCAACACATGTCCTCTCGTCTGAGGCCTGGTGATCATTGCCAGATACCACTGCCTGCTACTGCTCTCAGGAAAAATGCTCAGAAGAGGTGTTTTGTCTGTGGACATACCACAAAACGCCCACAAAAACGCAGAGACACTCGTTTTATGTGTGAAGAGTGTAAGACACCATTGTGCTTATACCCATGTTTCAAGAATTCCACAAGCTGCAGCAGTTCTAGAAGTGTCCAGTGATTGTACATATGTATATATATTATAGAACAATAAACATAATAAAAAATTTTTTATATTGTTTGTGTAAACAAGTTTTAGGAACATTATGATGATACGAGTGTTTTTGCTATAATTGTGTTACATTCAACGAGTTGTACGTATATTTGAACATTGCAAAAAAATTGGTTTCACAGGCCACAAAAGTTAGGTGAAAAAAATAAAATAGTGAAAAAAACAAGAAACCATCGAATACAAGTAAATCAAAGTTTACTGGGTGAGCGGCAGTCGTCGCTGTTGCCAATCACAGATCATTTTCGGCAAACTTCACACCTCTATATCTCGGTAAGTACTGATGGGAATTTTTTTTTTTGGACTAAAACAATCAGAAAAATAATCTTAACCTTTTCATAAAGAAAAAATAATTTTTTTTTTCGAATATTTTGCGACACCAGGAGACACTTCAGGTTTGGGCCTTTCGACAGTCAAAAGGTTAATATTTGAGGATAATGTTGTGTGTGTGTAGTAGGCACAATAATAAGAGTGGATGATTTGTATATTAACCCTTTCAGGGTCGACAGGCCCTCTCCCAGACTTGTTTTCAGGGTCGAAAAATATTCGAAAAAAAAATTATTGTTTTTCTTATGAAAATACAGAAATTTTTTTTCTAAACTTTATAGGCTAAAAAGAAAAAATGCCATCAATACTTACCGAGATATGGAGGCGTGAAGTTGGCAAATTGAACCACGTATGGCAACATCGCCGACTGCCGGTCACCAAGTAATCGTTCTTGTTTTTTCTACTTTTTTCTAATATTTTTTCTTTTCAAGTAACTTTTTTGGCGTGTGAGACCAATATGAGGACTATTTTGTAAATATTACTGTTTCTATACTACACAATAACTGTACAAACACTGTTGTCATTATATTGTTTGCGAAACTTGTTTACACAAATGAACAATATACAGTGGAACCTCAAATATCGAACTTTCTTCGTTCCAGACGGCTGTTCGAGTGCTGTTACCGAACGAATTTATTCCCATCAGGAATAATGTAAATTAGATTAGTTCATTTCAGACCCTGAAAAATAAACTTATAAAAGCACTTACAAAAATACACTTACATAATTGGCTGAGTTCGGAGCATTTTCGATATTTGAGGTTCCACTGTAAAATGTTGTTTATTACTATTTTTCTATATTTTATATACACATATACAGTCACAGGACATGTTTCTAGAAGTTCTGCAGCCTGTGGAAGTCTTTGAAACATGGTGTCATGCACAGTGGTGTTTTACACTCTTCACACAAAACGAATGTCTCTGCGTTGGTGTGGGTGTTTTTTTGTATGTGCGCAGATGTAACACCTCTTCTGAGCCTTTTTCTTGAAAGCAGTAGCAGGAAGTTTCATTAGGAAGTGATCACCAGCCTCAGACGAGAAGGTAGTTGTTGATAATTTAGTGGGTGGTTTTCCTTGGTACTTGAATATAATCTGTCTGATGAGAGACAAACAAAATTCGCCATATGGTGATTCGTTTCTGGTCCTCATCTTATACATATTATAAGCATTGAGCATGGAAATGTCCAGAACATGGAAAAATTTTTATGTACGACTTATAACTCTTGTGAACACAATCAGCAAACCCAATCTGCATGTCACATTTGTCCACTGAATGCATACTGAGGGTGTAGTCCATCACAGCTACAGGTTTTAGAATGGGTTCATTGGTCTCTCTATTCTGCCTGCCAGTCATTTCGTTAGGGTGAACTGATGACAACAGTGTGACATCTCGTTTGTCATGCCACTGAAATGGCATGATATCACTGGCAGCAAATGCCTGCACCTCACCTCTACAAGTGCCAGCGTCAAACCTGGGCATATGGTTACGATTTCCACGCACTGTGCCACACACATCTGTCATGTTCACTCGCAAAAAATCACTGAGTAAGGGGCTTGTGTACCAGTTATCTGTATGTAATATATGCCCCTTACCAAGATATGGTTCCATCATTGTTCTCACCACATCACCAGAGATACCCAATAACTTCCTGGTATTTTGCAATATATTACTTCCAGTGTACACAATAATATCCAATATAAGACCACTGTAGCAGTCACAAAGCACAAACAACTTTATACCAGTGAACATTAAAATGGTATAAAATACCAACAGGTTGTTAGGTAAGACACATAGGCAACAGTTAGGTATCTTTATTTCGAAACGTTTCGCCTACACAGTAGGCTTCTTCAGTCGAGTACAGAAAAGTTGATAGAAGCAGAAGATACTTGAAGACGACGTAATCAGTCCATCACCCTTAAAGTTTTGAGGTGGTCAGTCCCTCAGTCTGGAGAAGAGTATTGTTCCATAGTCTGAAACAATATGGAGTTGAAGTGACAGGATGGAGCCTTGTATACCACCAAGAGGTGAGATGTAGGCCACTAGTAGAAGTAAGAATGAAGTCGTTGGGAGGTCAGGTCCCTCTCAAATCCAGCCATTCTCACTAGTAGAAGTAGTCCTAGTTGATTTCAGGTCTGTACCAAGATACCCTTGTGTTGCAGTGTCTGACAGAGTGAACAACTAACTGTTGCCTATGTGTCTTACCTAACAACCTGTCGGTATTTTATACCATTTTAATGTTCACTCTGTCAGACACTGCAACACAAGGGTATCTTGGTACAGACCTGAAATCAACTAGGACTACTTCTACTAGTGAGAATGGCTGGATTTGAGAGGGACCTGACCTCCCAACGACTTCATTCTTACTTCTACTAGTGGCCTACATCTCACCTCTTGGTGGTATACAAGGCTCCATCCTGTCACTTCAACTCCATATTGTTTCAGACTATGGAACAATACTCTTCTCCAGACTGAGGGACTGACCACCTCAAAACTTTAAGGGTGATGGACTGATTACATCGTTTTCAAGTATCTTCTGCTTCTGTCAACTTTGCTGTACTCGACTGAAGAAGCCTACTGTGTAGGCGAAACGTTTCAAAATAAAGATACCTAACTGTTGCCTATGTGTTTTACCTAACAACTTTATACCAAAAGCATTTCCTCTTGCTTGGTATATACTGCTTGAATGACAGTCTTCCTTTGAACAGAATCAAAGACTCATCAATAACATGCTTGTAATAAAGTTAGTAGAATTACTTGCTTCCTGAAGGGAAAAAAATACATACTGAATTTCTGTTTCAGATACACAAACACATTCCTAATCTTACATAACTTGTTGTTTCTGTCAGGCCTGGTTTTGTCTGAGAAGTGAAGCATACGTAACAGTAGCACAAATCGATTCACTCCTATTATGTCACTGAAACCTGGGGTACAATCAGGCAGTCTGTTGACCAGTATGATTTAACCTGCTTATACACATTGGATAACAATTTTTGTGGAAAGAAAGATACATTCAGCCACAGTTTGTCCTCCTGGTTACAAAAATTTTGGG